TCATCATCATGTTCAATCTCAGATGCATTCACAATTTATTTCTTTTTATCATTGTTGCTTAAATTGTAAAAATAAATAAAATGAAATTCGTAAATATTTATGATCTTTTTTCTATAAAAATGCATAATTATATAAATGATAATTAAATGTAAATATGAAACTTGTTCTTTTATTCAACTTTCTTTTTCTCTGGGAACATGTTATAAAAATATCATGTCTTCCTTATGTAATATTTTGTGATTCTTCATTTGCTTTAGTTGTGGGCACATTTCTGATTACATAAACATTGTATACTTGCTCTCCTTCATCATCTGAGAAGATTCCTATGGAAGCACTAAATCTTTTTTCTCAGCAATCCACTCATCATCAGAGTCAATGTCATTTATCAATATTAGATTGAAGTCTTGTTTTCTTCTTATACTTCTCTCCCTCAATCTAGTTATATATCTTATATATATCAGAGCATTCAACTTCTTTTGCTCCAACCTATTTTTTTTATAGTATGAATCTAAGGTGAAAAATATTATTTTTAAAAGGTGATTATGAAAACAAATAATATTAATTTTAAGAAATAAAAAGTTATTACTAATTCAAATGTGCTCCAATTTCTTTCACAACTTGATAATCTACAAATAAGGCTAAGAATTTCAATAGCAAAATTCATTTACTCAGACGTTTTTCCACCAATCGAAAAGAGATCTTAACTTTCTTGAGTCCATAGTAATTCTACTTCCAAAGTCTCTTCTTAAGTTATTGTACAAGTCTAGTTGAATGTATGCTCTAAGGTGATCTTCATAATCCATCATTCTTTCCATACAAACAATTAACCCTTGTTTCACCTCTTCATCAATAGAAAAATTATCTTCAAAGTGGAATTGAATATTTAAATAATAACATGTTGTGGTTTAGAAAGTTGGATTTCCCATCTTGCATCAATTTTCCTTGAAATAGGTCCATAATTTTTTTCATTATGCCCATAATTAAAAGCATTTTTTTCTTTTGCTGAGTTCATTAATTCATAAATATAACCTATGGTTGGTTTTTTGTTTTTTTTTTGAAGTCAACCTCTCTTAGAACATTTACTAGAGGCACAACATTTTTGATACAGCAATCAAGTTGACCCCAAAAATATGGATCAAATAAAATAACAGCTCGAGCTTTTATATCTTCTGTCTTTTTAGCTCATTGACTAAAACACAAAGTTTATGATGAGAACATTATCTAAAGTGGTTTGTTTTTGCTTGTAAATGCTTTAAAGAGTCAAATATGCAAGCACAAACCGTGTGATGGCTGGAAAGACAAGTTCCCTCTCCTTTATAAATGATCCCATCAAGTCAAGAACCTATTTGTGCTCGTAAATGAATTTAACTGCTTGTTTTGTTTTTGCAAATGTGCTTTCATGAGTTTCAACTTTCCAATATCTTCCAACATTAGGTCAATACAATGTGCTGTACAATTGTGGGGCTTACGCCAAACGCCTAGCGGCTAGCGCCTTGCCCCGTAACAACTAAAAAGCCCCTCCCAACACCCTCGTCTTTTAAAACATTGGCAGGGTGACGAAGACGACATCATTTCATGTATTTCAGAAAGTGTCACTTGCTCCTAGCAAAAATCCCGGGACAGAGACATTCCATTTTACGGATTATATGCACTATCAGAGAGAAGCTCTGAGCTTCTTCTAGGCAGTGATTACGCTAAAAATATCGTCTCTTTGAAAGTTGTCAAAGTCCTACAGTTCACAACCACAAAATACCATCGACCAATTAAGTTAGTTGGGTTAAGGAAGAAGTTGAAATACCAATAACCGAGATGTGTTAGGTTTCGTTCTACATTGAAAAACAATATTGTTGTGAGGTGCTTTGCTATGTTTATTGATATGGATGTTTGTCATATCATCCTTGGTCGGCTGTAGAAATTCTACAAGGGACGTTGGTATGACAGCATAGAAAATGTGTGTTAGACTGGAAGATTAAAAAATTAAGGCTATGATCCAAAGGAATCAAATCCTGAATCAACAACCTTCCTCTCAGTTTCTGAAATTCAATTGCTGCAGGACTACAATACTGAAACTAGGACGCATGCTCTTCTCATTTCATAAACTCACCACTTTGCTCAAGAAATTCCTACCAACATTTAGAATTTGCTAGAAAAATACCAAAATTTGACTCCAAATAAGTTGTTGGATCAGCTGCCACATGCGAGGAATAGCCAACATCAAATAGATCTTTCACTAGGGTCAAACTTACCCAACCTACCACATTGCAGGCTCATCCCAAAGGAACATCTAGTTTTACAAGATATGATAGACAAGCTAATAAAAAAATAGTTTATTCTACCTAATTTGAGTCCATGTGTTGTGCTAGCATTAATCCAAAAAAAGATCAATAGTGGTGTATGTCTATTGATAGCCGAGCTATTAACAAGATTACCACAAAGTTTAGATTTCCCAAGCCACGGCTACAAGATTTTTAGGACAAATTACTGTAGTCTCGAATTTTTTCAAAGCTGGACTTACAAAGTAGATACCCACCAGATTCTCATAGGTCCAGGAGACGAGTGAAAAGTAACTTCTAAAACTAGAGAAAGTTTGTATGAATGCCGATGCCGATTTATGCAATGCACCAAGTACCTGAATGAGGCTAATGAATGATATATTAAAATAGTTTCTTGGAAAGTTCTGTGAGTATACGTTGACGAAATTTTGGTGTATAGAACCTCATTAGATGTGCATTTAAAGGACTTGACACTATTCCTTAATAAATTACAAGAGCAGAAATTATACCTCAACTTATCCAAGTCTGAATTTGCAGTAGCAATTGTACATTTTCTTAACATTACTCTTAAAGAAAGTACGAGAGCAGAATTTATACCTCAACCAAGTGCAAATTTGCAGTCGCAAGTGTACATTTTCTTGGCTACACTGTGAGCTCTCACTGCACTCAGACCAATCCGAGCAAAGTTGAGACGTGGCTCATTCCTACCATACTTATAGAAGTTCAGACCATCCAAGTTCTACCATGGATTCATAAGAGGTTTCAGCATCGTAATGTCACTCATCAGTGATTGTCTGAAAGGTAAGACCTTCACTTGGACATCTAAACAGCAAGCAAGCTTTAAAAAAATCAAATCAGCTCTCTTTGAAACGCCAATATTAGCTATTCCAGATTTTTAAAAATCATTTTTGGTTGAGGTTGATGCTTTAGCAATTGGGATTGGTGTTGTCCCATAATAACAAGATGAACTCAATGAGTTTTTCAATGAAAAATTGAGTGGGGCCCGACATACATGGCCAACATATGAGCAACTATTGTATGCAGTAGTAAAGGCCCTTAAACCTTAGGAACAATATTTAGTATGCAACGATCCACTTAATAGAATGCATATTCGGTGTTTTTTTTTTTTTTTTTTTTTTTTTTTTTATATTCCAAAATATTCAGTTTTGTGCTCAAAACATAAAGCTCAAAAGTCTAAAAAGGCAGCGGATGCTCTCAGTCGGCAAGCCAACTTATTAATTGCTCTACAGACACCATCATGAAAATGGACGTTTGAAGGGACAACATGAAGATTATGCATATTTTGCCAACTCTTGGAAGAATTGGTCAACAATTTCCCCAATTGTTGATTATTCTCTTACATAAAGTTCTCTTCAAAGTTAATAAATTATACATACCTGATACTTCTCTTATTATACATTTGATTAAGGATATGCATTCGGGTGGCTTAGCAGCACACACCCACTGAGATAAAACCATATCTCAGCATGCAGATCAATTCATTTGGCCAAAACTCCTTCAGGATGTATGCCAATTTATAGAGAGATGTGTCATTGCCAAACCTACAAAGGAAATGCATAAAATAATGAACTTTATTTGCCGCTACCTATTACCAAAACCATCTAGGAAGACATAAGCCTAGACTTCAACCTCGGCTTTCCTATGACCAAAAGGGGTTTCAATTATGTCATGGTTGCCATGGTTGTCACAGATCATTTTTCAAAACCATCACATTTCATTGCTTGTATGAAGAATAGAAGATATTTGATGCTCTTAATTTTAACGGGATCACCGACTTCATGGATTACCTAGAAGCTTTACGTTATACAGAGATGTTAAATTAAGGGGTTATTTTTGGCGTGAGTTGTGGAAAAGATACACAATGAACTCCGAATGATTTTAGCCTATCATGCCCAAACAGATAGACAAACCAAAGTAGTGAATCAAACTCTCATCAGCATGATTAGGTGTTTAACCAGACTCAGCTAAGTAGAATTCACATACAATTCCATTAAAAACAAGTCTGCTAGTAGATCTGCTTTCAGCGTTGTATACACCAAGAACCAATTGTTGATCTTGTTGTTTTATCCAAAAGGAACAACAAAATAGCTGCTAATTTTATCACATGTTTCAGTTCCATGCTCCAAAATGCTAAAGACAACTTTTCACAAGGTGATCACAACTATAAACAAGCTATTAAAAAAGGACGTTTCAAGGACTTGAAAGCTGGTGACCTGATCATGGTTTATTTACAGAAAAAACGCTTTCCTGTCCGCACATGTTTGCAGTTGAAGCCAAGAAACATAGTCCATTTCCCATTGCAAACAAGCTAAATATTTTACTTACCATTTCAAATAAAACAAGGAAAAACTAGAAAGCAATCAACTGTCTATCAATTTGTGGCAGATCATTTTTAAGGATATTCCCAGCATAAACAATAAAGCTTAATTGTTTTCAGGATTTAACCCATTCAGAATTTAGTAAATCCGGATTTGCGGGATTTACTATATCATAATAACTTAAATCTCATCTTTTGCCAGACAGCACCTAGGAAGTATGCTTAAAATGGTTTCTCAGATGAAGAAAACTATGCATAAAGCAACCCAGAAATACAACAAAAAGCTGAAATTAGATGGTTGGATGGCCACATCGATGAGACAGGTTTAATGCTGCCGTACAAAAACAAGCAGAAAAAAGCTAATGCTGAGAAATTTTAAGCAGTCAATATAAGTAGAAGAAATCTTATTAGGACGTAGCCAACCAAATATACATAGTATATCATTCATTCAAAGTTACAACTGCAATACTAACAGAAAGAGCCCGTAAAGAAACGGAGCTCGAGAACTAGAAAGGGACAAAGAGAGAGATGTAAATCGGTTAAAATATCTGTACATAGGCTTAGCTCAAACCATTCTTCACACAGCCGGAATGTTTGCGAAGGAGAACCCCTTGTACCCCTTGTACGCGTAGTAGGCAACGCGCGTGTAGTAGAAGCCCGGCAAGAAGAGCACCGACCCCAAGATCGCAAAGAAAATCCCTAATTTCGTTAAGGAAATAATTCAGGTAACAATCAGATGGTTGAAATCATAAAGAGCTAGATATGCGGAGTAATCGCTCTGCAGTTACCGTGGGCACGATCTCCGCCGGCGCGATTGTAAGCCATAACTATGCCGATGACAATTCCAAGGACGCCGAACACAAGGAGAGAGACGGCCAGTGCTATCTCCTTCACCGGTGGCCGGTTTTGAACCACGTACGACGTCTCCATCATGATATCCTCGTCAGAGATCGAGAAGGCGTGGTCAACGTACGCCATGGTCGACGTTGGAGCTTAGCCGAGAGAGAGAAGGAGAGCGTTAGGAGAAGAGAAGGGAGAGTTTTCTTCCTCGTCTGCAGGCTGCGGCGACGAAAAGTTATAGGGAAATGGTAAAAGTCTGGGGTGCACACTTCCGGCCTTTCGGATGAAGGAAGAAGTGGAGGTCAAGTTTTGGTTTTGGTTAGCTTAATTGCTAACTACTGTCCCCGCCCTCATTTATTCCTTATTGCCGTAATTTATTAGTTCTTTTTCTATTACTAAATGAATAAAACTGGTAATTATCCCGAATCATTTCCAATATACCCGAAGGCTATTAATTTATTTATTGGTACTGTTATAGAAGGCTTAAGCGCAATTCAAGCTTTGGGGCCTCTTGAGCATGATAGACGACCTCTTCAAGGCACTTGGGAGTTGCATCATAGGGAAGATTATTGTGGTTTTGGATATGGTGTTGTCGTTGTGGATTGTACGATAGCTCAGTTGGATGATTATCTGGATGTACATTCATCACACGTTTCAGATGAGATGAATAAGTGAAGGTAAAGGAAGGCGAGTGAGAGAATAAGTGACAAATAATATTAATTCTCTAGGAATATATTTGTTAGTATTTCCTATGGAAATGACCCCCTATTTATAAGTCACAGGGGATGTCAAGTAAATTACAAGTTGCCACTCACTTAATTGGAATGTTACAATGAATTTATGATTCATTATTACACTTTTACATATTTGTAACTGAATTTGATAACTTGTAACCCTGATAACCGCAGTCGGCACCGTTCCGCATTTATAAATGCCTCTGACATTGTTTCATATTTGTAATTGTTTGACTTGATCATTTTATTTTCGATCGATCAATTAAAAGTCATTCGGCAGATCAATTAAAAGTCATTCGGCAGACTGACAAATCATTAAGGAGCCTTTCTTCAGTCTAGAGATCTTCATAAAAGGGTGCATCACCATAATTTGATCGGCAGCCTTTCTTCAGTCTAGAGATCTTCATAAGAGATTAGGTGAGAGTTTCATTAAGCGACCGTGATTTTGTAAATGTCCTTGCATCAATTAAGTTGTCGTTGGTCTAGGTGGGTGGTCTTCTTTGGTTCGTATGAGCTTTCATTCAGTCGGCTCATGATTCGATCGATCGGAATGATGTTAGATGGCTCAATCCTTTGCTACTTTTTTTGTGCGGTATGTTGGATTTTCTTGTGATCCTTGCAGCCACATTTTCGTTATACATATTAAGTTCATCGATTCTCTTACTTCTTTGAAAATGACAACTGTCATAAAAATAAGGAAATTAAATGAAAGCATTGCTTATTTTTTACATAATAAGTACTACCAGTTATTGTAGACTCTGGATTTGTGTGCCTCTTTTCCTTATAAAGATGGCTTGAATAGCATTTCCCTTCTTCATTTTTCAAAATTCAAGCCCTTCAATCATTTGTAGCAAAGGTCGAGGATGTTGGGTGCTAAAAAATGCGTGAACGAAGAATCATTGTTGAGAGCCTTTGTGCTTCCCAGTTCTAAGATTCGCCCTTTGGGGGGTGAGAAAAAGAGAAAGTCGTAGAGTTCCAGACCGGTTCCGTTGAAGAAACCAATTGAAGAAGGTCGGTCGACCGAGAAGAGGCTGGGAGATGATTTCCTAATCATTGGTACTAAAGGGCTGGTTGTAAGGACTAAGCTTGAGGGGTCCAGATTGGTGAAGCGAGCAGTGGCGAATAAACAAAGGGTGGAGGAGATCGTGGAGTCTTCCGTCTCTCTGCCGCTTTTAGAGGTGGGGAGCCAAACAAAAGTTTGCTTTACTAATGTGTTTATTTGGGCTTCTAATCCACTCCACCAGCAACCAACTAAACTATAGCCCTCGAAATGTGAGTTTGTCAAGGTGTTCGTGCAAGCTCCACCATTGGAAGGTGCCTGATATTTACCTAGTGTGTCAATGGATGTACTGCTTGTAATCTTAAATGGGTACTATGAATTTTGAATCTTGATATGTGTAGCAATGTGACACTACATGTTTGTCTCTGACAACAGTACCAAAAGCATGATACTTTTCCCATTTCATGTAAAATTTACACACTAGGAGTTTCACGTAAGTATACATGTCGTGGCAGTAATATCGGATTATAGAGTCTGGATTATCGATCCCACAAAAATGTGGTATTGAGCTTAAGAAAAGTTCTAGCCTACTATAATGAGCTTTGGCCTGGAAGTATAGTTGGTTTAAGTTGTGTTCACTAATCCTACTATATTATCGCTACTATCGATTTACTCTTAAGGGAATTCTACTAAAGCTAATTAAATTGAAAAAAAATTAAGATATAAAAACTATCATTCCTTTGCAATGACATAGTATTGTGTGTAGAAATGAAATACTTAGAATATAAATTATTGCTAGTGAGAAATAGGAGCAATCCATTTATTTACCCTCTCCGAGTGCATAAAGAAGTTTGGTTCAAACTTGGTTAGTGTTTTTGTCAGTCACCCTAGAAAACCAAATTTGAACCCATCAAAGCATATTTTCTTATTTATGTAGATCGCCTTATGGACTACTTTTTCTTCACCCACTAGTGCAATGTGATTCTTTCTAGTTGTTCATGTCATAGCTCTCCCAAGTCTTTATGAGTTCACAACAAATTTTAACATATCATTTGGCTGGATGATAATTAAACTAAGTACAAAGGAAAAACATCACTTTAATGAATAAATTTTTTTTTATAAAAGCATCCTAATATCTTAAACATCCTACTAATTCATCACAAGAAAAAGGTATAAAATAACTACTCACAGTGCATGAAGAAAACACTACAATTCATCATCTTATAAAAAGACAAATCCATAGAAAATGAGCTTACAAATAATACAAGACAATGTAGAATGAAACGCTTCACTTTTTCTCTAGAACAGAGACGAAAACTCCTCCCCAAGTGATCTCTAAATGGTCCCTACACTGCTGACAGTAATCCCTTACAAAATTCTCTCAAATCCCTTTCCAATCTCTCTAAGAAAATGAAGAAAAAGTAAAAACTAATTCTAAAATCTTGTCTCCTACCCAACTTGGTTTCCTCCCCATCTTACAATGATCCAAGAAAGCTTCTTGAACTGCCTCTGTAGCCTCTTAACTCCCAAATTTATGCCAAAGTAATTGTGGAAACTACCCTAAGAAGTTCTGGCACTTAGGGGCCACAGGGCGGGTGGCTAGGCGCCAATGGCTTTGTTTGCTCAGTGAAAATAAACGCCTAGGCTAGTGCCAAGGTCCCAGGGTGGATCACCTTGGTGCCTAGGCGCCAGTGTGCTGAAACATTGTTGTTTCCCAAGTGCTCCAATTTGCTTCCATTTCAGCCCCAATCCTCCTACATGTTATACCTACAAGAAAAACACAAAAAATATATATTTCTTTAAAGTGCAATTTCATCAAAAATAAGTATTAGATGTAAAAAAAATTGAGCATGCTACAGGACATATCAAAATCTCTCAAACTTAATGTTACTTGTTCTCAATTAATACCAAAATTTTCAATTTAGTTTTATTTATCTGAAATAGTGGACTTAATAAAAGTTTCCTTCAATTTTACCTTAAGAATGTCGTAGTTCATTAAGATCAACTCTAGTAAATAAGCTTAACACTAAAGTATAAGTAATCCTTGTAACTAACTTTAGAAATTTTGATTTTCTACCTACTTCCAGAATCATTGACATATGTTAATTCTTGGTTCTTTAGAGAATAAAACATAGAGTTAAGCATTTCACTAAAAATGATTTGACTAATACTTTTTAAGGACCGTCAAGTTTAATATAGTTAAGCACTTCATTAAAAAGGTTTGCCTAATACTTTTTAAAGATCATCAAGTTTAGGATCATGACAAGGTTAATACTTTGAATTGACTCTAGTGAAACCAATTTTTAGTTAGGCTTCTCCTCAAGCTTCTCCTCACTTATTTAATTTTCTTTTCATATCTTATTACTTTAGAATGTTTTTCAATCCTAAATATATCTATAGGAGGATTACTATATCTGAATAGGCCTTTAATAGTTTTGAATTTCAATATTATCTCCTGAAAGTACAGCCTATCAAATTTCATCACTTAACAAAATTTTGAAAAATTTAAAGTATTAGTTGAAAAGAAAATAAAGGCTAAACTCTTATATAATTGTATCTAAAGGTTCCCAATTATCCACATATACAATTATTTTCAACAAGTAAATAGAAACATCATTTTTCTACATGTTCACCTACAAGTTACTTAACTTTAGTGAAGACTCGTTTACATAAAGTTTTTGAATAAGTATTCTACTTCATTCCTTACTCAATATTGAAGCAATTTTTAATTACCACCACACTTCTGAAATCATTTAAAAATATGTCCACTTAAATGTATGCTATTAAGGTCAAATAAAGTAATGTTTTAGAAGTTCTTCTCCCCCAAACTTGATTTTTTAATATGTATAACATTAAGAACAAAAAATAAAAGTAGGGAGAAAAGAAAACTAAATTACTTTCTACTACACTAGTTTATCATAAGAATATAAAGGTATAAGTAGAAATGACAAGTATGCAGATGTACGTGAATCTCAGTTTAACATGTTTAACATTAAATTTATATTAAAAATATCTATATTATCACAGCAGGTAAGTTCCAAAAACAATTCCAGATAGTAGAAAAAACTAATCCAATACATCCATAATAGAAGTAAAAAATACAGAGTCCACTACATGAAATAAATATAAAAGAAAATACATTAGTCTAGCAGTGATAAAGAAAACATAAAAATATAAGTACATCTACATCCAAATGAAAATAAATACTCCTCATTCTCATCATCATCAGTATCATTGCCATCATCATCATCATTCTCTTCTGAGTCCTCCTCAATAAACATGTGATGCTCATATAATTGGTATGGAGGATAAACTGGGAACTCTACTATCTTGTCGCCTCCAATCCAATGGTTCTGTCTATACATTTTGATTTGCGCAGCTCGAAATTGGGCTAGATGGTCAAATCTCCTTTTATTTTGCTGATCCAAGTGTGATAAATGCTCATTGAATCTGTATACCTCACCATATAAAATTGTTGTAGCATCTCCTACTCTTTTCAAGTGTTGTGCAAATGTTACCCTTTGAATAGGAAGGTGTGATGGGTAAGAAGTAGATGAAATAGGTTGCACTGTATCAGATCTTTTTCCAACATCTGCATGCCAACTGTA